GTTTGACTATTAATTCAATTAGATCCAACTAATTATATGGTCCACAATAATAGAATAATATATAAAATATTATTACATTGGTCACTCCAACGTTCGTGGGGCTGTGATGTATTATGACTATGGTGATTATGGTGCTGTGAGGAGAAACTTAACCCCTGATGACATCAACGAAATCAACCATTTGTATGATTATGGTGATTATACAAATGTTTGATTTCGTTGATGTCATCAGGGGTTAAGTTTCTCCTCACAGCACCATAATCACCATAGTCATAATACATCACAGCCCCAGGAACATTGGATTGACCAAGACCGAGCGCATGCCCGATCTCGTGCACTGTCACTATGTCGAATGATTCAGACTGTGATCCGTCCACCCACCTTTCGGATGAGTTAAATATTATGCGGCTATCCCTGAGTACATGAGCTTGAGCAATGGTCCCGCTCGGCCCATCGATGCCTGAAAAATACACACTTATGTCGCTATAAGTGTCTTTGACATAAGGAAGAACGCCACATTTTTTTGTTTTTTTATATAAAATTAAAAAATGTGTGTTATTCCTTATGTCGAAGGCACGGCGCACCGAGCCTTTAAATTTCTCGGGGAATCCTTTGTGGAACCTATATTAGAGGACATCAGTGTCCCACTTGGGCATTCCAAACATTAGCTTAAAGAGGGTTGTGCCAAAGTTAGTCGACCAGGCCCTTTAAAATCGCAACTGATGATAGGTTTAGTGAGGTGGAATTGGCCCACCCGATTGTCCACAGCAGAGCCAATATGAAAAAACTCAGCATTGTCATTTTTTTTAGACTGGTAATGTAAATTTTTAGATGAAAACTGAAATACAATTTAAAACAAATTCTTGTTATTTATGCCCAGTTTATACTCGAATTGGTATGATATTGGTAATAGTTGGTTCATATTTAGCTATTATGCTCCAATTGTATGAATGTTAGTGGATGGAGTTTGGTGCAAGACACGTACCTTGCCTTAATAATAATATAATAAATGTAAGCACCTCTTTCTTATAGCGTGATTTATCAAGGAAATTTTAAACTTTTCGAAAACATTTTTGGGCACTTACTCATTCTCGTTCTTTTCTTTCTTTCTTAACCTAAACCTCGCGCTTAGATTCTCGAGAAAACATCCCAAACATTTTTTTTCTTTCAATTACGACTAAGCAGAACAGTAAAATACTAAGTCTTTTTTTTTCCAACGACATAAACGATCTCATTAAAAAAGCCAAAAGGCAATGTACAAAGATAGGCCCGGAACCCGGGAATGAGGTTACAACCCTTCCGATGCAACCTAGACGAAATACTACTAGCAAAGCTAGAATGACAAAAAATATTCATCTCTTCTTCATTAAATAAGGTTATTATTGGCAAAAAAAAAATATTCTTAATTAATGTGCAACTTCTCAGAACGACATATATTAAAAATAGGAAGTAGTAATATTTTAATATATATTAACAGAATATATTTATTTTAACAAAATACTTTTTATTTTTTAATATTTTTTAATATATATTAATACCGTCAGTAGAAAAAATTCAATCCTGCTCGATAAGGCCAATGCTTGACTCGGCTCGTTTGCAGCCTTAATATGGAAGGAGCTTTTTTAACCTCCTTTTGCAATTAGGAAGATTTTGTTCTTTCAATATCGTGATTAGAGCCCAAAATTTATAAATTTTCTATGGGATCGAATTTTTCTTCTCAATTCAAATACTTAATTTGATTACAGTTTTGCCATTAAAATATATCATATACAAGGACTTTTTAGTCCGTTTAAATTTTTACAAAATCACTGGTCATTTTATAATAGTATTGTTGTGAAATATTTATAAAATAATGTATGTGAATGACTATCTTGTCCCTGATGTAATTGTATTATTACGGTTGTGCCATCAGAAGTTTCCTATAAATATGAGCTTCAGTTATAATGAAAATTGTACCTAAGAGAAATATTTTCTCTATTCTCTCTCTTTCTCTCTAGTTTTATAACACGTTATCAGCACGAGTCTCTGCCC